AATTAATTTAGGAATAATAGATAACATCCTGTTCATTAGCACCTTAGCTGCCACTTTATAAACAGTTTGCACAAACGGATTGGCCTAAAATTGTTAGGAGCCAATGGGTTTCTAATCTTAGGAATAAGAACTATAAGAGTCTCTTTCCATCTTGGATCCATTTCTGACGTCTCAAAGAAATAATTAACAGCATTCCAGAAATCTTTTATAATGATCTTCCAATATGCTTAAATAATAAAAGAGTAAGTGATACCATTGTTACCTGGAGTAGTGTAATTATCACTTTGCTTGATTACATCTTCCACTTCTCCAATGGAGAAAGCTTTGTTTAACAAATTTGCATCATCTTCATTTAAAGAAATTCACAATTTTGGCCAGCCTTTAAGGTTACAATTTTTGTTTTTCCATTTCTCTTGGAAAAATCGAACCAATGCTTCTTCAATTTGATGTTGATCTTCCACCACATCTCCATTTCATCCTTGATTTTAATAATGAAATTCAGATTCCTTCTAGCTGAAGCATAGGATTGAACAAATTTTGAATTGCAATCTCCCTCCAACATCCACTTGACCTTGGTCCATTGTCTCCACCATCTATCTAGCCGAGCTAGAGTAGAATTGAGTTTACCCAATTTTACTTTAAGAAACTAGTTTTCCTCCTTTGAGAGCCCACACTCAGTAGCTTCTTTAGTTTGTAGCTCCTCAATTTCCTTCAACAAGAATTCCTTCAATTGAAATAGGCTTTTATGTTTAGCTTTGCTCCAATAAAACAAATCCTTCAAGGATTTTTCCATTTTGGAATTCATAATATGAAACATGCTGCCCACAGTATTTTTCAATCAAATTCCTCTTACCACAGTAGCTGAAGCTTTGTTGGCAGCCCAGCTATCTTTAAATCTGATAACTCTTTTGATCAAAGACTGGAATTCAAAGATATTTAAGAGAATCGGACAATGGTCAGAAGCTACACAAGGCAGATGCTTTACCATCAATCTATGTGAAGAATTAAGAGCAGTTGAATTCATAAAACATCTATACAATCTTTCAAGAATCCGATCAGCTCCTGATTTGTTATTACACCAAGTAAATCTTGCCCCAACATACCCAACCTCGTGCAAATCATTGCAAGACAAGAAAGTCTTCATTTCCTTGGGTCCTAGAGAAAAAGTGATTTTCTTCCCTCCCCTTTTGTCTTCTTTGGAAAGTATACAATTTAAATCTCCTCCTATTACCAAAGGTAAATCCCTAGAAAAATAGAATTCCAATCTTTCCCAAAGCTTCCTTCTTTTATAGACATCCTTATTTCCATAGATCGAAGCAACTCTCCATTTCCCCTTGTTTGGAACTTCCAGATCACCAATTACAAATTGCTGTGATGATTCCAAAACATGAAACTTGGCAACACTCAAGTTCCATATCAACAGAAAAATTCCTCGAGACAACCCTTCAGAGGGAACTTGAAAAAATTCCCAATCTGACCCAATAAGAAAGTCCACATCCTTCCTCTCCATATTAGAAATTTTTTTTCCGACAAACCAAAAAAGAACACATCATGAATCTTTACAAACTCGTTTAAGTATAGATAAGCCTTCTTCTTTCTAGCTCCTCTATAATTCCAAAAAGCTATAGAAGACATTATTATAACTGAGGAGAAGCCATCCCCATTTTCTCCCCATCCACTCTCCTACTCCTACGAGCCAAGTTTATAGGCCCCAAGCCTTTAAGTTGCTTAGCACCTTTTTTCTTCACAATAGAAGATGATCCATCTTCCTTGCCACCCAAATCTATTTTTAATACCTTCATATTATTCTTCAGGATACTATCTTCCACTTCATTAGTACCCTTAAAGTCATGAAGAGAGATAGCTACTACTTCTTCAGGGGTAGTAATATCCCTTTCCTCAACTAAACCATCTAAGATATTGAATTTATTCTCATTAATAGTAGAAACAAAAGTTTTAACTTCCATACCAGATTTGATGCATGAATCCTGATCATTGTCCAGAACCTCCTAATATAATTATGGTACAAGAACAATTTGTTCTTCTCCTGTGGATTGATCATGATGTCCAGCAAAAAAATTTTTATCACCAGGAATTGAGTGGCCTGTTTCTCCCAAGATATTGTTATCAGTTGTATCATGTTTTCCCACATAATTAGCTTCCATTGTTTCTGTGTTCTTTCTCAAAAATATTTCAGCAGGACATTGGTTTACTCTCTTAAAAACTTGATTTTTGGCTCTTAGGTATGTCAAGTCCTGTATATAATTTCTTCTATATAAATTTTGATATTTTGTATAATAATTTTCAGCTCTTATTGAACCTTGGCATTTCTATGATGCTCCTGTCGGAGTACCTTTTTTTTCTTAACAAGATAGAGATCAACAGCTCTTTATATTTTCTTTTCATTTTAATTGTAGTTCTTCGAGCATATAATGTGGTATTTTTAATATTTGGATTGAAACTTAATCCAAACTGTTGATTTCTATAGTCATGCCACGTAAATGCCATAATGCAAAATTATCTTATATGTTTAACAAAATTTTAGTTTTGTTAAATAATGTTAACTATAGAAACTCTCATATTTGAAAAGAAGGTAATGTTTGTACTGATTGCCTAGCAAAAGGATGTTCTAGAATATCTAATACGATTTGGTTTAGCGAAGAATCCTACCTTGGAATTCTCAAAGGCATGATCAGGCTTGATATTATGGGTATTCAAAATATTAAAGGTAATCTTGTGTTATTTAATTTTGTTCTACTATGGGGATATCCCTTTCTTTGCTAGATTTCTTCTAACTATTTCTTGTTTCTAATGTAAATGTTCCACTCTTACCTTATTTTCTTGTTTTTATTTTCTTTTTTTGCTTTGCATTTTGGATAATAGTCTATCATATATTGGTTACTGTTAGTTTGTTATCCTTTTTTTTTTTGTTGGTGTCACATTTTCTACCTATTGGCCATGTTATTTTTTTCTAGGATGTTCCTTTATTATAGGATTCATTTCTCATGAAATTTATTACTTTATTCAAATTTCTTTTCCTGTAAAATGATGGATAGTACTCATTTGATTAGATGGCAAGCTGTCATGACTTGTTTCTTAATTTTATGATTTAGTGTATGAAACATGATGGTTAAATGTGTGTTTTATTCCTAATTTTAATGATATATTTATTCTCAAGGATATTATAACCTTTTTATTATTTTGGTCCTTAATTTAGAGCTTATTAACTATGAATTTTTCTATCTGTGCTTGCTTTACTTTCATGATATTCTCTGCGTGTGGATGGTTCGAGTGCCTTTTCTTAGTATTTCTAATGGAAGTGTCTTTTATATATATTTTGGATTTCATGTGTTGGGTTCTACTTTCTTATGCGTCCCTTTTGTGGTCAGTTGTTCATCTGTGGATAGATCTAAATATATGTTGGGGTTTACTTGTGATCCTTTCTCTTTCATGTTTGGATGAATATCTTTCTCTTGCATGTCTCTAAGGTATGTCAAGTCCTGTATATTATTTCTTCTATATAATTTTTTATATTTTGCATAATCATTTTTGGCGCTTATGGAACATTGGCATTTCTATCATGCTCCTTTAGGAGTACCTTTTTTTTAAACAAGATAGAGATCAACCGCTCTTTATATTTTCTTTTCATTTTAATTTTAGCTCTTCGAGCATATAACGAGGTATTGAATCCTCTAAAAATTTGTGCTCTTTTATGTGATGAAAGAAAATTAAAATTTGTACTCAAGGGAAAAAAAAACTCTTGTCTAGCGCACCGCCGCCAATTGTTCCTCAAAGAAAGATGATCTAATAATTTCGGAGGGCTGTACATCTCTAATCATTCATTTAAGATAAACAACAAACTAAAGTTTTTCTCTTCCTTTAAAAAAAAATGGTTAAAAGCACGACAAAGATGAAGATGCTCTTTCAAGTACTTTACATTGTTCTTCTTGAGGCCAGATCTTAGGGATAAGTATTTGGGTTGAGAGAGAAAACAGAATTTGCCTAGCCCAAAAGGAAAGCCTTATTCATAGGCCAATATGGTAGCTTCGTTAGGTAAATTTAGAGAAAAAATTATATGAGAATATTCTAATAAAAGTTTAATAAGTATTAATTTCAAAATTATTATTCTTAATTTAAAATAAATGTAATTTATTAAAAGATAGTTAAAATTTAGATTTAATTCATCTACAAATTAAATTTAACAATTTTGATATTCACTGAAACCAAATATTTAATCAGAACATCATGAACTATTTTATTCCCATGAGCCTTTGGGATAATTCATTTACGAGGAAACCAAAATTTCAAATCACAGATATGAGGATTCACTAATTTAAAAGATGAAAGGTACAAATTAACTCAATATCTTTTCTAAACAAAGGATAAAAACCTTTGTATGGATAAATAGCAACAGCTTTTTAAAGCATCAAAATGCAGAAAAGAATGCAGAGTTTCGGCAGCCTACCAATTTGAGCCATAGCTTTGATAGAGGCATATAACACCATGGTTATCACGATCATTAAGATGCTACAATCAAATATGCAATCCTGCACGAACAGCACATGAAGCTGCAGAAAGGAGTAAATAGAAAAAGTTTGCGATATCTACTAAGGCAGATAAGGTACATGACTACGCTAGAAACAATCATAAATACATAATAATATTCATGAAAAACTCCTAACATGGAGCACAAAAGATACTAAAGGTTAACGACCCTTTTGTTTTTTTTTTTCAAGATGTCCTGAATGGTCTCGTAGATCTTCTCTAGTTAGAAGCATATTTGTGAATGTTTTTCCAGCGAATCACAAAAAAATGACGTTTAAATACATACTGACTCAGATAAATGCTGAAGAGCAATTCACGTCCCTATAAATCGACTCATGATGGAAGCTTACCTTACACAATTACCATGGAAACAAGCGACTAGTGCAACGAAATCAAAATGAGAACAATCATTTCCTACTTCGGTTCAAATGACCAGAGCAAATACAACAATGTACATCTCTCTCTCTCTCTCTCTCTCTCTCTCTCTCTGTATGTATATATATAACAAGACTTTACATTTGCAGGGCATGAGTAACAGTCATATGCCAACAGTACATTCGTAAGGGAAAAGGATACATACTATAGCTAAAGGCAGCTTGATCAAACGGCAGTTAGTCATAGGATGAAATCAGAAAATGCGTTTGCGTATGGCAGAGAAAATGCAGCTTAACCAAAGCGCTTCTTAAATAAAGCGTGCCTCTTGGAGGGATCCTTTTGTTTGGCCTTCGTCTGGCCCTGCGCGGTCTTTTTGCCATGCCCCGTACTGCACAGACAGACAAGTCAAAAATATTCACCAAAGCGTACACAAACCATGAGAAAAAGCAACGTTTCGTTTTTCCAAAAACAGTGCATTTCATGTGGTGACTGAAATGGATGACCCAAGATTAGAATTGTCTACTACCATACAAAGGTAATTGGGGGTTCACATACGAAAACCCACTATTTAGTTCAATTTATTTTCTATAAATGCAATACACAATATTAGAATTGGAAACCAAATGATTGAATTACTCCAAAAAGTTCAGCAAGAACTTAAAACGAATAGATTCATAAAGCAATTGAGTTTAATTTCAACAAATTGGATTTCCGATGTATTAATGCTTTTATCAAACTCAAGATCATTGAATAAGTCAATATCAAATTATGTTAAATGATATAGAACGAGGGATAAAAATATTGAAAAAAAAGGCTTCAATCAAAACAAGTTGGTGACTTCCCCAAAATAAGAGTCACGTTTGTCCTGTACTTGAAAGTATCACACATTAAATTTATACTCACAAGATTAAAATCAAAAATAGATTTCATTAAACCAAAATTGTTAGTTATATGTCTTGAAATAACTATTTATAGACTCGTCATCCCTTATGCTAAAGTGGGCTCCGAAAATTCGGCCCCGGCCTCCCCGCCTTGCTTTTTCTTTTTGTTCGGCGAGGGAGTTTAAATTTTGGAAGGCAGATGGGTTTATAGATAAGACACTACCCAGAGATTTCGCCCTCATTTTGAGAGGACTTTATAATCTGAGTTCTGGTTTCCTATAGGCGCAAGCCCCTATAGTTAATTACCCCTCCCGATTACGAGAGAGAACTTTCGATTAAGGCTAGTCATCAATCATATACGTAGAGATACGTGTTATCTGGCATATAGTAGCAGCAAAAGGGCATTGGATTTGGAAATTTGAAAAATTTGACGGGTTTGGATGTTTGGGACTTTGAAGGGTTTGATATTTAAAACTTGAAATTGCACCATCTCACACTTAAAGCGGAAGGTGGGGGAATGGATGATGGACCCGATCAAGATCCCATAGTTCCGTCGTCCCGGGCCATCGTGGTCCCTGGTCTACTTAGTGAGAGGAGGTAGTCGACCCAACCTGACTGAAGGATCCTTGTCGGCAGCCATGGGTTGCTTCGTCCAAGGGGACCTTGTAGACCTGGGTTAGATGTTTGTCTAAGGAGACAAATTTGAATCCACCTTAGCTTGCAGAAAGCTTTGTGCCCTATCAATCATATCCTATTGATTCATATCTCAAGGATTTGATGCCATTAAGGAGCGTATTGGCTCTGGCCATAACCGATATTTGTGGTGCCACTTGGCGGCAAAACCACTCGGTTCAGAGGACCTCGGGTCGTCATAACCGTTTATCCTGCGGTGCCATTTGGCGGCGAACCGCCGGTCAGAGAACACGTACCACGTCCTTACTGGCAGGAGATTGTTTGAGAATAGATCCTAGTGACATTTTCGACTAGGCATTTAGCTCTTTTGTGAGCTGAAGTAAATTTTAATTTGTCCACCCCGGCAAGCTGTTGTGGATGGTGGATGGGATTTGCTTTAAGTGTTGATGGATTTATTTCAATTTTAAATATTTTGGAATTTTAGGATTTTTGAGTGGCATTTTTGGAGTTTTAGAATTTGAATGGACCCCTCCGGTTGAGATAAACATTCAACACGGCCATCATCGGGGTGTACTTGAGGTCATTTCCATTTGATTGAACCTTGTCGACCCTATCAAGATTGAACCTTGTCGACCCTATCAACTTAACGATAGGGGATCGGGTTTCTCGTAGGCTTTATGCCTTTGTTTCATGAATTTTCTTTGTTGAAAGCCTTGAAGGCCGAATATGAATGTACAAAATAAATATTCAGGTCAACTTCGTGACCGCATATTTATCCGATATCTCGAACCCTGTCTACTCCTATTTATCTACTTAGGAGGATCGGGTTTCGTAGGTTTCAGGCCTTTTGTTTAGTGAATTCTTTTGATTGTAGGCCTTGAAGGCCTAATATGAATGTATTGAAAAAAATACACTGGTCGCCACAACCGTGTATTCGTTTAAAGGTTCGAACCCTGTCGACTTCTTGATGAGGACATCGATCCAAGGTTCAAACAGGTGTATCGCCGGAAGCATCGCAGATCGACGACCACGATTCAGAGTTTATATTTTTAAATATTTATGCA